TATACTCATCAAGAGCTTTCATTTGAGTACCCACATGCATTTTGATATATATTTCACATATACATATATATATTTATATAATATATATAAATATATAAAATATATGAAAAATTGATGTGGGTACTCAAATGAAAGGTCTTGATGAGCGTAACATCAGGATGAGCTTATATCTTAAAAAATGTCAATAGCTAAGAAATTCCGTTGTATTTTGTCCACTGATGATATTTTTAACGATATAAGCTCATATTGGAGTTACACTTATCGAGACCTTTCATTTGAGTACCCATATCAATTTTTCATATATTTATATATTTCATATATATGAGAAATATCATATATATAAAATATATGAAAAAAATCGTGTTTGTACTCAAATGAAAGGTCTCGATGAGCGTAACATCAGGATGAGCTTATATCTTAAAAAATGTCAATAGCTAAGAAATTCCGTTGTATTTTGTCCACTGATGATATTTTTAACGATATAAGCTCATCCAGGAGTTACACTCATCGAGACCTTTCATTTGAGTACCCATATCAATTTTTCATATATTTATATATTTCATAAATATGAGAAATATCATATATATAAAATATATGAAAAAAATCGTGTGCGTACTCAAATGAAAGGTCTCGATGAACATAACATCAGGATGAGCTTATATCTAAAAAAATGTCAATGGTTAAGAAATGACTTATGGTCATTATGCATATTATATAATTATAAAATAATAAACACCCCAAAAATAGGGTGGGCTCCACTTGTAAATAATTACCAAAAAAATTGATTGCTTTGTAAATTTTAATATAAAAAAATCAATTTCCTGTTTTTTTATATATATATGTATTTATCACATTGAGTTATTATAAAACGTGGTATTTCTATCCGTTGGCTTGTGATGCGTTACACAATTTTGTTACAAATTCATTTATATTATATGTAATTATTTATAAACTATCAGCTATAAATATTTAAATTAAGACATGACTTAATTATCTAAGATAGTCGCTAAATTGAAACATAAAGAAAGAATTACAATTTTGTTTTTTTTTTAATTTTCTTTTCAGTCTTATTATACATTCACAATGATTCATAGAATTTTTCGAAGGATCTTTTATCAATTTTCTATAATAATAATAATAATAATAACTATTAATTAGCAACTAATTATCTTGCTTATCAGTATGATACATGGCAAAATTTCATTTAACAATATAAAAATGTTTGTTGCTAATTAAAATATTTGCTAGTTGACATTAAAGCACATGATACGTTCAACAATTAAGGCAATCGCGGTGGGGATTATATTGTTGAAAAATAACATACAATTTTAATTAATTATCTAAATGTTTCTTTTACATATGCCCTGAGTAAAAAAAAACTAATAATTTTTTTGAAAATACAATTAAACAATATTTTATCCAATAAAACTAAATTAACGTAGCAATAATTATTTAAATTTTTATTACACCAAAACTATTTATTTTAAACTTTAAAACTTTCAAACATTTTTTGTAATAAATTTTCTTTAAAAAAATTTTCAATAGTTTTTAAATTAAAATTTAAAGCATGAATTTTAAAGAGAATTTATTTTTTTTTTACAAAAAATGTCCTTAGTTATTTTTTTAAAATAACAGTTTGAATAAAAATATTTTTTTAAGCCAAAAAAAAATATTTTAATTGCTACAAAAAAAAATTTTTATGGAGATCTCATATTTTATTTATTTAAATAAAAACAATTTTATTTATTTAAATAAAAAAAAATTTATTTATTTAAATAAAAAAAACTTTTTTTTTTAATTTTATTTAATAAATTTTCTTTAAAAAAATTCTCAATAGTTTTTAAATTAAAATTTAAAGCATGAATTTTAAAGAGAATTTTTTTTTTTTTACAAAAAAAGTTTTTAGTTATTTTTTTAAGCCAAAAAAAAAATATTTTAATTGCTAAAAAAAAAAAAATTTTATGGAGATCTCATATTTTATTTATTTAAATAAAAAAAATTTTATTTATTTAAAAAAAAAAAAATTAGCAACTACAAATCGGCGTCGTCACTATATTCATCATATTTACGTAGTGGGCTAGAATTGGTTTGATTGGCTGTATTTTTTTTACGTCTAGTTGTTCTGCGTAATCTTTTTGGTGATTTAACAGCTGGTATCTTAAAATCATCAACTGAAGATGAAGTTTCATCAATAACAAAGTGTGATAAACTGCTCTCGTCATCGCTAACAATTTCAACTTTAATATCCGGTGTTTGTGATTCAAAATCAACAGTCATATTTAAATTTCCCTGGTGATGCGACTGCTTTTGATGATGATGTGGACTTGACCTCTGGGGTGACAATGAATTATCCAAGCTGTTTTTCCGGCTGTCCTTCTCCTTCAGCGGTGATTTGTTGCTGGTTAAGCTAGAAATCGGCGAGTCGGTTTGATCGTTATGTTCGTCTTGATGAACAGAACTCGGAATGACACTTGGGAAGTTCTTGATTGTTTTTTAATTTTTTTTTTTTTTTTTTTTTTTAATTTTAAAGCGATCGTTGGTGATGTTAGTTGATGTTGATTAATCATTGGATTTTTTATTTTTTTAATTATTTTTTTTACCAGATGATTAGTGCGTGATCGTGAAGTTTTCAGCGATGGATAAAAAAAAAATGAAATAAAATTAAAAAAAAAAAATAAAAATTGTTAGATGGATAAATAAAAGCGTAAGTGCATACTAATTTATTTTTAATTAATTACGTAAAAACAAATAAAATTAATATTTTTTTTTTTTTAGTCGGGGAAAAAATAATTAAAGTAGTAAATCAAAGAAGAAATATTTTAACTCACTTTAATTGCCGTTTGCATGAGTACTGTGGTGGCGTAATTGACACCCTTAGTACCAAGATGAAGCACCGCCGTGTAGCCTTGTTCGGTGGCACGTGCCAAAGCGTCATCGATCTCAGCTTCACGGCGTATGAGTGCGGGATGCACGAAACGCCGATATAGGATACTCGAACCCTTGGTTGCGGGACTCAATAACCAGATCACCAGAATTATTTTGATCTCGTAATAGAACGGGAACCTATTCATATAGAAAATATTCTTCAATGATTTTTTTAATCCAGAGCTTAAAAAATATACGCGTGTTTTAATTTTTGTTTTTCGGGTCATGGCCTCGTTTTGTACATCAAGTTATCAAGTTTAGTTTTTGATATTTAGAATCGACGGAAATTTAAATAAAAAAATTTAATTAGGTTTCGTTTTTTTTTTCTAAGTTAATTAAAAACTAGCAACCTTGCAGTCATTATGTGACTTGTGAACTATAAATAAATAAAATTTTGCTCTATTACATCAATGACTTTTGTTAAATTGCGCTGTACTTTCTTAAATATTGAAGTTTTTTAAGATATAAGCTCATCCCGATGTGACACTCATCAAGAGCTTTCATTTGAGTACCCACATGCATTTTTGATATATTTGTCATATATAAATATATAAAATTTATATAAATATATAAAATATATGAAAAATTGATGTGGGTACTTAAATGAAAGATCTCGATGAGTGTAACATCGGGATGAGCTTATATCTTTAAAAATGTCAATAGTTCATAAGATACAAGGTCATTTTTTAATAGTTGACATTTTTGAAGATATAAGCTTATTTCAAGGTTACACTCATCAAGAGCTTCCATTTGAGTACCCACATGCATTTTTATATATTTTTCATATATACATATATATAATATATATAAATATATGAAAAATTGATGTGGGTACTTAAATGAAAGGTCTCGATAAGTGTAATGTCGGGATGAGCTTATATCTTTAAAAATGTCAATAGTTCACAAGATACAAGGTCATTTCTTAATTATGTATCTAGAAATAGAGCATTTTCGAATGCAGCTTAAATATTTGTCATAGTAAATTGACTATCAGTAAGAATGATATGAAGCCTTGAAAAGGCACAAATTCAAGTCAAGACTTTTCCAACGATACCAAACTTAACCATAAAAACCCATTTTATCATATAAATACACTGGCTACAAAATTTTGCTTATTCTCTTAATACTATAGATGAAAAATAATTATGAAAATTTTCAAAAAAATAATTTTTTTTTATACTGAAAATTTTTTTGATAAAAAAACTACAAGTAGAAATTTAAAAAAACTTAAAATGTTAATTCATTATTCTTTAAATACTTCTCATTTTTTTTTTTTTATTAAAAAAAAACTATTTTAAAATAAACAATTAAATTATTTAAACAATAAATCAACCTCAACTCTCTGTAATCTATAAAGTACATACAAAAATATATGAATGAATAAATGATACTTGAATCAATACCTAATTCAATAATGGAGCATTAGCCTCCTGAGTAAATTTACACTAGTTATCAGATTAGTAACTCAAACATTATTATCTTTCTCCTTTTTTACTTACACTCTCTTACTCATTAGTATTTATATTGTCATTAAAAATTATAACATATTTTACCATACTAAAAATAGCAGGCAGCTGAAAATTTTTTTAAGTTTAAAGTAACAAACAAATAAATATACGGAATAAAAATGCAGTAAGGGCATAATACTAAAGTTAGCCGACGTTTTTAATTTTTTTTCAATAGTTAAATTAAAACAAAAAAAAATTTTTTCAAAATTGCCCTTACAGTTTTTAATATTTTTTACAAATGAAATTTTTTATTTTAGTAATTTTTTCAATAAAAAAAAATTCTAAAAATTTTTAGATGTCGGCTAATTTAATTTTCATGGTAAGAGCAACTACATTTGGAGAGAGCCATTTACTACAGAATGAAGTATATATTTACTATAGTTTGTTTTAGAGTGATTACCACGTGTAGTAAATTCAACTCCAAGTATAATTGTCCTTAACGCACGTGTTTTTTTGTGCAACTACTAAAAAAAATGATGCAATGTTTTTAAAACTCTTTATGAAAAATAAATGACTATTTAATAAAAATAAAAAAAATTATTATTAAATTAGCCGAGATCTAAAAATTTTCCGATTTTTTTTCATTAAAAAAATTATTACAAAAAAATTGATTTGTAAAAAAACTGAAAAACTACAAGTGCAATTTTTAAAAAATATTTTTTTAAAATTTAATTATTAAAAAAAAATTAAAAACGTCGACTAACTTTAGTATTATAAAAAAATGAAAATTAAGTTAGCCGACATTTAAAAATTTTTTTTTTATTGAAAAAATTATAACAAAAAAAAATTATATTTCTTAAAAAATTTGAAGTGCAATTTTTAAAAATCATTTTGTTTTAATTTAATCATTAAAAAAAAAATTAAAAACGTCGGCTAACTTTTGTATTACAAAAAAATAATCAAAAGGTTAATTTAAATATAAAAATATTTTACCAAAAACTGAAGAACACATCAGTGAATGTTTCAGCGCAGGTGAACAAGGCAAAAACAATCCAGTACATCATCCATTTTACCTATAATTAAAAAAAAAATAAATAGTAAAATAAAAATAAATAACAAAAAAATAAACTTACATATTCTTTGACGTTCTTCGTCCGCACCGCTTTGTAAGAAGCATAAGCTGGATAAAGCGTGCCGAAGAGTAATCTAAAAATCGGATAGATGATAAAATATGTAACAGTTTTAGGCATAATAATGACCATAATAATAATCAAAAAGCCCAAATTGCCCAGTGTCAATTTAATTGGTAAATTTTCAATGGAGTAACGTGCCCATGCCATTGATTTACTCGCAAGTAAGCGCGTTATACTTATATGCATGGTGTTTGGAGGTAAAGAATTAACAGACGATAAATTATCTATTTCTGAATCATCGTAGTCATACTCATCGACTTTACAAACGTCAATAATTGATCTGCAATCGCTTTTAGCACTGGTTGTCTTGGTTATTCTTTTTTCGTTCCACATTTTTATGGTTATCTCTTTAAATATCACCGCAATAATAAATATTGTCTCAATCAATTTAATATATTTTGTATATAGACAAAATATATAATGACTGTCGCTTGTCTTTTATAGGCTAGAGTATTTATAATTTTGTTATTAATCATTTAATTACAATGTTTAAAATATCTGTGTGATATATATGTGTTAAAGTTTAAATATTTGGCTTTTACTTTCGACTTAGTTGGCGTGGTACTACTTTTGGCTTTTAAAGATTTTGCTTTGTCCCAGTCACGGTTGCTTCCAGTTCACAACTAGTCTTGCTGGCAGAGTCGTCAAGAAACTAAACTACTGCACGTGCTATTTTAGCAGCGATGACCCCTTCCGGGGTACTTATGTATACACAAATGCCGCTCCCTCACGCACTATTTAAAATACATGCTGTAATTTAATGGATTAAACACACTGTTTTTTTTTATTATTTTATTTAATTTTTTTTTACTTTTTATTTCAGAAGAAAAAAGGAAAATTTGTAAAAATTTTTGTTAGTTTATTTTAAGATAAAAATAATTAAAACTCTTTCAAGTGAGAACTACGCAGCTAACAAAGCTCTAAGACTGAGAGACATCAACTGGGATGTTCATACATTTATTTTAAATATAAATGTATATGTAGGTTATACATTAGAGTTACAGGTAATTTGATGATTATTGTCAATGTCGGGTGTTACATTACGCAATTTTATCTGCAGACGTATGTCATGAACAAGAGTAATTATTGTATTTTTTTTTTAATATACGGACAAATGAATAATTGTAACAATTGCAGGTAATTATTATCAATTTTAAATTATTATTATTATTTCACAATTTTTAAGACGAAGTTGTTTAAAAAATTTAACACTCAAATTTTTGACAATAATTATAAAGAATTTTCAGAAAATTTTATTATTATTATTATTATCTATATTATTAAGAGAATGAGAAAAATTTTGTCTCCAGGATAGTCAAATGATAAAATCGGTTTTTTTTAGTGGAATTTAGTGTCATTGTAAAGGTCTCAACTTGAATTTGTGCATTTTCAAGGTTTTACGTTATTCTCACCGATAGTCAATTTATTATGATAAGTATTAGGCTACATTCGAAGATGCTCCGTCTCTAGATACATAATTAAGAAATTATCTTGTATGTTGTGAACTATTGACATTTTTAAAGATATAAGCTCATCCCGATGTTACACTCACCGAGACCTTTCATTTGAGTACCCACATCAATTTTTCATATATTTTATATATTTATATATTTTACAAATACTATATATATATATATATATATATAAAATATATAAAAAATGCCATGTGGGTACTCAAATAAAAGGTCTCGATGAGTGTAACATTGAAATAAGTTTATATCTTAAACAATGTCATTAATTAAGAAATGACCTTGTATCTTGTGAACTATTGACATTTTTAAAGATATAAGCTCATTTCAATGTTACGCTCATCGAGACCTTTCATTTGAGTACCCACATCAAATTTTCATATATTTATATATTTTATATATATGTATATATGAAAAATATATGAAAAATGCCATGTGGGTACTCAAATAAAAGGTCTCGATGAGTGTAACATTGAAATGAGTTTATATCTTAAAAAATGTCAATAATTAAGAAATGACCTTGTATCTTGTGATCTATTGACATTTTTTGCGATATAAGCTCATCCCGATGTTAAGCTCATCGAGACCTTTTATTTGAGTACCCACATCAAATTTTCATATATTTTATATATTTATATATATTATATATATTTATATAGGAAAAATACATCAAAATGCATGTGGGTACTCAAATGAAAGCTCTTGATAAGTGTAACATCGGAATGAGCTTATATCTTTAAAAACATCAATATTTAAAAAAATACAGTGCAATTTAACAAAATTCATTATTTACTAAAGCAAAATTTTATTTATTTATAGTTCATAAATCACGGCAATCACATAGTGACTGCAAGGTTGCCAGTTATTATTATTATTAAAGTTTTAAGCTGAAATAAAAAATTTAACTATTTTTTTTAACATAATTTTACTAAGAATATATTTATAAAAAATTGTATTTATTATTTTTTCATTCTTACAAGTGCATTTAAAATAATTTTTTATAATAATTCTCGCGGAAAAAACCAAAAATTATCAAATTGATTTAATAAGACTTTTTTTTCAAAATAATTTATCTATTATTTATAAAATAAATTTATCTAAATAAATTTATACTGAAAGTAACACAGTTTATTATAAATATAAAGGATATAAATAATGAAATTAATAAATATAGTGATGCATAAATTGGACAGACTCCAAAAAATTGAAGTGAATGACACTTCAATCAGATGTTAAATGTCAACAATACAATGTTATTAATTTTTATCGGTATATAATTAAAATAAAACTGTAATTGATCCAAAAGAGATCACAGACAATTTACAAAATTCATTAGCATTACGTCGATGCCTCACAGTCATTATTCTTTATTGTGTAATCGTTCGTTCGAGCGTTAAGGACAGATAGTAAATATATATCTATAAATATGGGAAAGTAAATTAAAGTTTAAAATTATTTTAAAAATTTATATTTACATTAGTTATTACATTATTTTATCAAATAATAAATTATTGTTTTATTATTTTTATAGGCGTCGGAAGATGTCTTATTGATAGAGTATTGACGACAGTAACCCGTTTGAATACTGGAGCATGAAAATTCCTAGAGTACCGTTCAGCAATCGGCACGATAACTGGAACATTTCGACGATTCGGTGGTGTGAAACACGTCATCTTAAATTCAGGCTTTATAAAATTTTAAATTAAATTTAATTTAATGAAGATCAAAGCTTTAGAATTTTTGTTTCACTTTAATAATAAACAATAAAATATTTTATTTAATTTCACTTTCTCTTGATAAATCCTTTATGCTTTTCACAATTCTGACAATTTTTCATGCTCGATTGACTCTTAATCCTCCATTACAATAAATAATGATAAATTGCGAAGGTTTTTTTATGTCAACCGAGAATTTCTAAATGCTATTCGCACAATTATTTCACTATAAAATAAATCAAATGTGAATAACTACGATGCCATCATGCAGGAAAATAGTTATCCGAATTTCTTGACGAACTGGAGCAGACATTAAATTTTGTTTTTTTCATCAACTATATTCTTCCCGAATATTTTTAATTGCCGAGTGTAATGTAATGAAGTTAATGGACCACTTGAAGAGATTTAATACAAGATGTGAGTGAAAATACACTGGATGTGTTTCACGCAGCGTCGCAATGCCAAGACTAAAGGTTGGCCCACTCTTAACGTTCAATTTATATTTAAACTCACGATATGTTTAATGGTAGTAGATGATGATGCTGTATATATAAATATATATATGCTTTTTTTCTTATTATTTTTTCTCAATATAGATATAGATACTTTTAAAAGAAAAACGGACAACCACGTCACGGTTTTCAACGTGGGTGAGCAGAGAAAAAAAATTAACAAAATAATGTCTTTTTTTTTTTCAAATAAAAATAATAAATCAAAGAAAAAATCTTCTTTGGAATTTATTATTTTTATAATTTTATTTTTCTAGAGAAAGAGAACAAAGATGACGAAGATTTTGTGGAGTTAACGATACGACTTAAGGTTATTTTCAGAGTTAATCCTTTTTCCTTTTTAGATTGCTGGTGATGGGGAGTCGAAGAAAAGAGGTCATTGGATTCTTAAATTCGAGAGTTATTCCACTGAGTTCACGCATGACTCGTTGGAAAATTCACGTTTAATTTTTAATCCTAAAAAATTATAAGTATTCCGTGACTGCACTTGTTAAAATTTTTTTTAATAAAAATTAAAACTTTAGAATTTTATTTAAACCATTTTTTCATCAAATAAAGATTAAACAAAAATGTGAGAAAATTTTATGATAATATTCTTACTGAAACAAAATTAAATTCAATCAAGATAAAAAATCTTGAATTAAGAAAAATTTCTTAGCTTAAGAATTTTAGTGACACCTTGTAGTGACTATAAGACTGCCGTGAATAGTGAACTATAGATAATTAAAATTTTCCTTCATTAAATAATGACTTTTGTTAAATTCCACTGGACTTTTTTAACTATTGACGTTTTGAAAGATATAAGCTCATTCTGATGTTACACTCATCGAGAGCTTTCATTTGAGTACCCACACAAATTTTGATATATTTTTCATATATACAATATATATAAATATACAAAATATATGAAAAATTGATGTGGGTACTCAAATGAAAGGTAACGATGAGTATAATGTCAAGATGAGCTTGTATCTCTAAAAATATCATTAGTTGACAAAATACAATGTCAGTTCTTAATTATTGACATTTTCAAAGATATAAGCTCATCCCAATGCTACACTCATCAAGAGCTTTCATTTGAGTACCCACATGCATTTTGATATATATTTTTCATATATACATATATATAAATATATGAATATATGAAAAATTGATGTGGGTACTCAAACGAAAGGTCTTGATGAGTGTAACGTCGGGATGAGCTTATATCGCAAAAAATGTCAATAGTTCAAAAGATACAATGTCATTTCTTAATTATTGACATTTTTTAAGATATAAACTCACTTCAATGTTATACTCATCAAGAGCTTTCATTTGAATACCCACATGCATTTTGATATATTTTTCATTTATAGATATATGTCATATATATAAATATATGAAAAATTGATGTGGGTACTCAAATGAAAGGTCTCGATAAGTGTAATGTCGGGATGAGCTTATATCTTTAAAAATGTCAATACTTCATAAGATACAAGGTCATTTCTTAATTATGTATCTAGAAATAGAGCATTTTCGAATGCAGCCTTAATACTTATCATCATAAATTGACTATTGGTGAGAATGATATGAAACCATGAAAAGGCACAACTCTAGGTCAAGACTTTTCCAACGATACCAAATTAACCATGAAAAACCCA